GATTTAAGTCCCTGTTCTATAATCTGAGGAGTTGATCAAATTTACCATGGCATTGAGATACGCACAGAAAATGCAGGTCATTTCCATCTAGACAAACACTCTCTGCTCTGTTTTTCCATCCCTTACAGCCTTCAGGTCATAGAAGAGGCATTGTGGGCACTGAGATTAGACCATTGGTTACCTTCTGAGCCTATGGTGTACACTAGATTCTACCTGAAATTTGAGAGAAAACACGGTAGCCGATGTTTTAGACAACAGTGGTAAGCAATGCTACCATAGCTATCCTTCACCGAATACTGTCTCGTATGTTTTGCTAAGTTCTCTGAATCCTAGTGGTGTATTGATTTCTCCTCCTACCAACACACACCCACCCAGGAAGCTACAAGAAGCTCTTGTCCTCACTGAGTTCTTTCCAAGCAGGACCCAGGCCTGTGGCTCCTGACAGAGGCCCAAGGCAGGCGCTGATTGCTATCTCATAGGAGGTGAACTGCTTGAGACAGAGGATACCTCAGTTTAAATAGAGAAATGTGATACAGAAAGATGCTTGTGAGGTTGCATGAAAAATCAGGTTACCAGAAGGATGGATGTCAGGATCTTAGGAAAACATATAAGACAAAAGCCAAGCAACGCACTCTGCTGAGCTTCCTTCCCATGTATACACACACACACACACACACACACACACACACACACACCTTCAGGAAGATATCCTGTGTATATATACCTACAGGAAGTTATACTATATATATATGTATGTATATATGTATGTATATATATATGCCTACAGGAAGGTGTCATATATATATGCCTATAGGAAGATATCATAAGTATATACGCCTATAGGAAGATATCCTATGTATATATGCCTACAGGAAGGTATCCTATGTATATACGCCTACAGGAAGATATCCCATGTATATATGCCTACAGGGAGGTATCCTATGTACAGGAAAAGAGAGGAAGTCTAGAAGGCTGTGTAGTGCCCATGTACAAATGTGGTTACTTCTAAATATTACTGGTTGGCCTTCGTCCCATCTTTTCTGCATATTCTAAAGGTTTCATGATGACTCTGAAGTGATTTTATAATTTTAAAAGCTGTTATATTAACAAGGACAAGTAGAAATACCATTTTATGACATCTCTAGGAAAATTATTCTGTCTTCAAAACAGAAAATTTTTAAAGTTCCTCCAGGACTTCTGGGAGAAGCTGCATTTCTGTTTACCAAGCATTCCGAGGGCACAGTATTGAGATTTATGAAAAGAAGATAGGACTTGTAATCCCAAGATGCAGAATTGTTAAGAGCAGCGAAGAAGCACGGGCAGATCTACACAGTGAAGACGCACCATCCCAACAGTGTGCACAGAGGCTCTTGCTCCCATGTCGTCACAGCTTGCAGGAGAAGAGAAATGACTGCCTGCCGGATGGTGAAGGGCAGTCTCTTCCAGAATATTCCGATATGCCTCCCAAGAAAAGGCGCTCAGGCAAACCGGGGCTTCTAAAAGCCGGAGTGCCCAGCCCACTTATTTTTCCAATGCTTGACTTTAGATTTCTCCAAAGGAAATAATATATTTACTAAACTACCTGTAAATGTGTACGCAGGTAAAATATTTATTTGGGTTTGCTGTCAAGTCAACAGATGCCTGCTTCCCCTCCCCCATAATCTTGAGACTGATTCAAGACAGGAGACTCAGAGGCTTGGCAGCTCATGGAAACAGAGTTCCCACCGTGGCCCAGGGGTGCCGCCCGGAAATGGCTTTACTCACTGACTTCCTTTTATCACAATGCCAAGTGTTATTTAGATTTCAGTCATTTAGTAATGCCACACTGCACACATCAGGGCGCCTGAAATATCCCTTACCCGCTAGTCCTTTCATTTCCATAATAACCGTATATCAATATCCATTTTCCAACCAAATTCCAACAGGATATAGAAAGGAATCTGCGCTTCACCAGAGTTTAGAACATTACAAGGCAGTGAACAAGAGTCTCCAAAAATGTTCCCTCATGTTATTAAGAATTAGAAAATCTTGTTAAAATTCTTTCAGCTGTTGGGGATCATAAGCAGCTTTGGGACATAGTGCCTGACATGTTCTTTTAAAGCAATTCCCTTTGAGCAATCGTCCGTATTAGTGGAGATATTTCATCCCAGGTAGCACCCTATGCTGCTTTTCAGTATCTGAGTAGTCAAGCTAGCTGTGTTTTTAAGCCAGAAAATAACCAACTTCTATAGACCTGTAGGGCTAAGATGGGTTGGCATTCCCTGATGGCAGGAGTCACATTCACCATCTAGGAAAGGAGCCCTTTCCTGTGAGAACATAGCTGATGGGCTCTCATCCTTAAGTGGTGGGGAAAAGCAGAGTTTCATGGGTGTTGAGTGGGAATGGCTGCAGGAAGGCCACGTTGGTGCCTTTCAATCGGTTGTTGACGTAAATGACAGAGTAGGTCAGAAGGAGAGGATCATGGTGACGGGCGCAGAAGTGAGCCCTTTGAGAAGGCCAGATGTGGCCTCCAGTTGTCTAGAAGGAGTAACAGGGCTCCAGGGTGCCAAGAGCTGTTCTGGGCATATTAACGGTCTTATAGAAGGCGTGGGGTTTATCAAACGTCTTTCCTTAGAATGTTTATCTGGGTTTGCTGTGAGCCCTAGCAGAGCCAGTATAAAGGCTGTCCTTTTCTTTTCCTCCCAATGTCTCTTTCAGGAAACAGACCACCCTAAAGACCTGTCTGGAGAAACAGCAAGCTCCAGGTGAGTGGAGGAGGTGATCTGGCTTCCAGCTACATACAATTTAACCTTGGGTTTGGATTAACAGAGCTCATTATCCGAAGCAAAAAGGTGACAGTTCTCTTTGAAACGGTCATCAAGCATCTAAAGAGCTGTGCTCAGTTCCTAGAAGCATGTATACTGTTAGAGGGTCATCAACAAACTACAATCCAGGCAAACGAGGATAGTGTGGGTGATGAGGTTCTGAGGAACACACCAGTAGATGGATGCGTGACTGTGGAATCTGTGGTCTAACCTGGGAGCAGCAGAAAGGGGGGGGGGCTTGATGTCTCTCATATGACACAGTTGGGTGTCTACAGTAAGGAGCAGGGCACCATCTGAGATACGGCGTGAAGTTCCAGTGAAGGAGATGGGAGACGTGGGCTTCAAGCCAGGGCTAACTCTGCTAGGAAGTGCTCAGCCGTAGGGGCGGGCAGCTTTCCTAACTCACCAGCTTCACGCCAGGAGATAACAGAGACACCTGTTGGCGTTGCTGCTGATGCTGGAATTTGTGCTAAATGACCGGGAAGATCCTGAAGTCAAGTGTGTGACTCACAGACACAGAATCCACGGTCCAAAGACCTTCCTTTAAACGACAGCTTTTAAACTCAAATTCCTCTCCACCGGGTCACGAGGAACCAAGGCTCCCTGATCCATCTTCAGAACAAATGAACACAAAGCCCTTCTCATATGCTGCTTCTCCTGCACCCACAGCTAGGGATGTCCGAACAATGGCAAAGCAGTGTCAACTATCTCGCTGATATATCCATTCAGTAAGGCCACTGAGCTATGATATAACGAACACATGGCTTCCCCCAGAAGGCTGTTTTCACTTTGAAGGGCAAAGAGCGGTCTTAAACATTTTCCTTTCTCATGTGTGAAGCTAACTGGAGGATACCCACCAACACTATAAATAATGAACACCCTGCTCTAACTTCCATGGGAAAACATGGATTTGATTCTATATATGGAGTCAAAATATTTCCAAAAGAGGCAATCTTTTTTTTTCCCTGTGAATACCCATATTGTGATTAGTTCTAGACAGGACAAATTATTTTCTTGAAATATGTAGTTCATTTTAATATTAATCTCAAGGCAGCATTTTTCATTTTCCTCTCTAATACAATGCTTGTGTGTTGCGAATTCTGTTTTAGAACTACAGATCAAGTGGTTTCAAACACAGGCATCTTTGAAGAGTGCAAAATAACTTCTCAAGTAAGCAAATAAAACTTTGCACTTGAAATCAGGCCTTGATTCATTAAAAATCTTAAACTTCTCATGAGAAAAATTAACATTTAAACCACTGCTGCTTGGCCAAGCACTCCACCACACAAGAATATGAAATATCTCCTCTAAAAAAGTACAAAAAGGACAAAACCACAAATGTGGAACTTCAATTAATTTAAAGCCCCAATCAGCAAAGAATAAATCCTTCGCAGATCTAATTACCAGCGCTCTCGGAAGACCCAGGCCGACTAGCCAATCTTTCCCGTGTTTGAACAGCTTGATGAACTAGGGGACTGATGGATATCAAGTCATTTTGTTTAATTTATAAATGGATTTTCCCCTAATACTTAAATTATCATCAGTACAACACAATGAAAATGGGAACATTCTGAATGCAAAGTCTATAAGAGTCCTGGAAGGAATCCCAATGAGGGCTGTCACCTCTGTTCATTCCTCTATACAATTGATCTAATTAAATACTGAGGGTGGAAAGGCAGCGGAAAATGTAGCCATTTCTGTTTTCCTTTTAGCCTTAATTTATCTGTTCACATCTTTCAAGTACCCTTCTGATGCTTAAAAGAAAAAGAAAAGAAACCAAGATTTCTGCAAATCCCTAACACTTTTAATTCTCTACAAGGTAATATTCAAGATGCCTCTGCCAGAGGGTAGATTTTTGCTGAATAATAAATAAATGTGTAAGAATAAAGGGGAGAGGGTGTTCCAAACCAGCAGATCTCCTTCTAGTAATTTGAAAGAGAAACCAGAGGCGCTTGGACCTTCTGGATGCATTGTTCAACTGAAATAAGATCTCTGGATTACACTTATTAAACTGTCTCCTTATTTTCAAATCTCTTCCTTATTTAATTACTGCATGGGGTTGAAAGCTGCACGGAATTCTTAAATACCCTTCGTCCTATTTATAGTCTCTCCACACGGGGACCTCGGGCACACTCATTCGACGAAGGTCCTGCCCACCAACCGCCAACTGCAAACACATTGAAACCCAATTCCCACCTGGCTCAGGGGTCTCTGACTGAGAGGAGGAAGAGGCCGAGCTGGCGGCGTCCTCTGCGGTGCCCTGTGAGAGGAGGCCTCGCCCAGGCGGGAGCTTCATGCCCAGCTGCTCTGCCATCTCCACGTGGTCCCCAGGGTGAACATAGTCAAAGACGCTGCTTCCTGTCAGCTCCACCTGGAGAGGGAGAGAAATGGAGAGAGAGGTGTCATGGGCTTTTCTGCGTTCAGTGTAGTAGCACAGGGATGCAGATTCGGAGGCGGAAAGGAAACACGCTCGGGCCCCAGCAGCAATTCCGGCTTCAAGTCTCCATCTTCAGCTACTTGAGGATTCTTGGGAGGGAAATGATATTCTTTTTCCCACATGTATTTATTTAGCAATTGTTTAGCCCAGTTTTCCCCTCATACAGTGTTGTTTGCATAGGGCCAAAGCGTTCTGTGAAATGCGGACAAGTCTGCCTTGTGTTCAGCTGTTTTATCCACGCATCATCAAGTACTTGTATGTTCGGTGTCAACTGGATGATTGACTGAGACCTACAGTTTTCATGCTGAGAAGTTTGTGCTTTGTATGAAAACCATTTCAGAAACAGCTAGAGATAGCAGGCCAGTCTTTCTTTCAAATACACAGATTTCTAAGATTAAAAAAATACCCTCTTATTTCTATGTAAATTTAAATGTACAAAGTGCCACTTACAAATATATGCAAAGGCCTAATGTTTTCATTAAATATCACTCATTAGCTCTGTAATCATATGGAGAATTTTCCATGCAAAAGAGGTCAGCTGGGGTCTGAAGCAGACATTTTTTTTCTGCTGGTATCAGCTTGTTTTGCCTTCAATCTAATAAAATACATGGTACAGAGCTCCTTGAGGGCTTTAAAAAGGGTTTTTATTTTGTGTACTCTTCGAGCGAGGCTGCCTCCAAGTACAGCGGATGAATATGAAACAGCGGAAGAGAGACCTGTATAGCTCAGTGCCGGCAGACCGGGTCTGTGAGTCTGGGTCACTGCGTGGGGTACAGGCAGAAGGTGCCAGAAAGGACTGGCCTTACCTTTCACCTCTCAGAGAGCTCAGACTTTTATCTCTTCTTGAGGCCAGCTGTAATGCTCCTAACAGAACGTTTTGCCTCGTAGGTATTGCAGCAGGGGGAGGCAGGTCAGAAGCAGGACATGAGAAAGCTCTCCTTGGGTCACTAATGGGTTTCTCTGTCCTTTGAGCGAGACGGGCTCAGGCCAGCTCTTTGTGCCATGGAAGTTTGTAAAGCATCCAGTTTCTTGACATGTACCCTCCCACCTAAACCTCTTCCTACCTCGTTTCTCTTTCCTGTGTGATAGCCAGCATCTCTCTAAACTCTACCAAATCTCTCCTGCTGGGAAGGAAGGGAGGATAAACTGTCACGGAGAGCGGAACGCTCAGATCTATTACCCTCAGCACTGCAAGTCCCTTGTAAGATGATCACATCTACTCCCAGACACCATTTGATTAAAGTCTTAACAGGCAACACACCTTCAACATCTATCAATTAGCAGAGGCAAAACCAGGAACAGAGAAGGCAAAATTCAGTTTGGGTAATAGCTCTTCCCGAAAAAGCCTCGCCCAACTTTTCCCGAAAATGAGGTACTTTCTGCAGCGATTAGATTAGTCTTTCCTACTGTCTTTCTCGGCTACTGAGCTGTATCATCTTACTCTCCTCCACTCGGTCCTGTGACAGAGAGCGCATCGGGATTCACGGTGATCAGCTCCTACCCTCTGGGAGGGGGGGATTACACGGAAATAATCCCTTTAATGTGCGCCTTGCCTCTAACCACTTCACACGGTAATAAACGGGTAAACTGACTTGGCGCAATTAAGAAATTAAATGAAACTAATAAAATGTGTGTTTTAATATTTCTTGATGGTTATTTTGTTTGGGGATTAGTGGATATGAGGAAGTCATTCGCTGCACATGGAGTCCGACCAGACTTGTCGCACATTCCAGTGTTTGCTGTCATCTTTCTGTGAACCCTCAGATACAGACTGCAAAAAGGTGAAAACCCAGTGAAATAATTAGGGTGCTGGTTATTGAATATTCCTGTCAACCAGCTCTACAGAGAAGTAGCCAGGTCTCTACAACTTGCTTTGCCTAGAGATCCTTCCTTCCCAAGAAGCTGCGTTCTGAAATACTAAGCAAGGTTAAGTCGTAGCATGCCTTATTGTATCCAGGAAGCTGTGTGCTGATGTACAGAGCAAGGTTAACTCACAGCACGACCTATTGTATAGCGGCAAGGATGACCTTCAGTGCCCTTCTGGAGGCTTACACTGAAAACCCAATATCGTTGCTAGAGAGACAGCTCAGCTTAGCAATTAAGGGTACAGACTGCTCTTGGAGAACACGGCTTGAGTTCAAGACCCAGCCACTCCATAGGGCAACTTACACAACTTGTGACCCCACTTTCCAGTGGGATCTGATGTTCTCTCTGGCCTCTGTGGATACTGCACTCATATGCACAAATCCACACTCTCACGTATATATACAATTAAAAATAAAGTGAAAACAAAACAATAATTGATGGGGGAGTTGGCCCTGAGGATTGGGCACTGCCATACCCTCCAGGTGTCTACTACAGTCGAGGCCACAGGGACGTGGGAGACACAGGCTATTTGGAGTTGTAACCTGAATGTGAGGTCACAAGGTTCCCCTGTCCAGCCGTGTGGCCTTGGGCAATCCCTGGAACCTCCTTGGACTCCAGTCTTCTGGAGCAAAGCTGGTGACTGGCTGCTGTGAGGGACAATGGGGTCCCTTTCTCAGTGCATTCCGCGTGGATGTCCCCCCTGCTATTCTGGTTCTTGGGGATGATGCGGGGCCTGAGCCTCTAGAGCGGTGATGAGTCATGGCTTACTTGCCCCACAGCTCTGTTTTGAAAACTCCATGAAACCATGTAGGGGAGTCACTGTGTAAGAAAAATAATGCCCTCTAAATGCCTCCCTAGCCTGAATAGTGGAAATGGTTAGTGGTCACGACCGAACTGGGTGGAGTCCGTTTCAGTGCCTCTCACTTCCTGTGTGGTGTCTGTAGCTCAAGAGGCTGAGCAAGGAACTCTGAAACCCTCTGTCCTTCATCCTTGCTGTGTCCACAAGAGCATGCTGAGTTCTCAGAAGGGAGAAGGCTACAGACAGGTGGCCTGCCAGGATGTTTTGTGGTTGGACCCTTGGCCCTAAAGGAAGTCCAGAAGGAGGCTGTCTACACCAAAACAAATGGGGGTAACCAGGGGTCAACTTAAGGGTAACCAGTCATCAACAGTGTCACCCATCCCAATCACCATCTTATCTTGCTGGGCTATCACTGATGTTTATTGAACAAAAAGGATAGAGAGTTAGATCTAAGACAAAATCATTTTGATTTATGATTAATTTGATCAAGCTCTAATTGTTTGTTCCCCCAAGTGTAATCTGGCATTATGATTGTAGCACTTTAGTTGTAAATGTGTTTCAATACTGCATTGTAATTATCTTTCCCTGTAAACCCTTGCCAGGTTCATTAGTAACCACACCCTCTTTTACAGCCCCAGCTGAATTTGACTGAGGGTGGAATTATACAAGTGCCAGGAAACTCAGGCATTGAGGAATCCAATGGTCATCTTCCTCGACCCCTTTGTTTCCAGTCTATGGCACAACAGAACTTAAGTGGCCAGTTTCCGAATTACACCCCAGGTCCTCGTTATCTGCATCAAGACACACTCTACACAAATGATGACCCACCCTTTCAGATCACAAAGAGTGAAAACTTAGAGTAGTTTCATCCGGTATGACTTGTTGGTTGTATCCTCAGTCTTTTGTTAGGATCTTCTCAATGGAAAATGGTAGCCCTTTACCTCAGTGGTGCACTCTGATGGGCTCAAACGACATTTTAGGCAAATGTAAGAACCTCTTCATTTTAGAGTAAGATCAGTCCCTTGGTGGTTGTACTTGTCCAGCTTTGGAAACAGACCCAGAGTCTGTTTGAATGGTTTTCTAAGCTTGAGAAGGAGAAAGAGGCATGGCCATCTCTACTTTCAACCACCAGGTCTAACGTTACCCCCTCGAGTGACTCTATTTTGTTGCTCTTGTTTTGTTACTTTTGGTTTTGAGATAGGACCTTTCTAGTTCAGACTGGTGCTGAACTCATGATTCTCCTGAGTAGTGTCCACGTTACAGGCATGTGTCACATGCCTGGGGTGAGCAATGTCAAAAGGGAACTTCTTTGCAATGCTTAGAACATGTAAAAATCAACAACAACAAAACAAAAAGTAAGGAGCGTTTGCAGCTGCAGATAGGATTATTTATTGCCCATCATCTATCTGGAGATCTCATTTTGTTGAAACCCTTTCTGCCCAGATATTCCCACTCCAGGACAGACAGCAACCCACAGTCAAACTAAACTACACAGCTTTCCCTCAAATATACTTCATGATCTACCGGCTTGCCTGACATCTTCACACTAGACACAGGTGCTCTTGTAACTGAAGTTCTGTGGAAAACGTAAATATATTTATATAATGGTTTGACTTTCCCATGTGGGGTCATGTGCCCTGCTGGCAGCTAGGACAGGGAATTTCTTGTCCTTTCAAACATCAAGCAAGCATGTTGGAAGCCGTGGTTTGAGTCTCTAGAGTGAGCGACGCACCCTTTAACTATATCAGTGTCCTGATAGGGATCCTCATGGGATCAGAGCCCCTTTAACTAAGAAGGTTTGGTACATGTAAGGGGCCAGCAGTGACACTAAGTCACCTCCACTGTGCAACACACGAGAGGATTTTGCTTTGAGGTCAAATCAGAAAGCCCATTTTTCAGGTATCTCTTTCTTTAAGAGATTTCCATCTAAGAAGCAATACAGGGATGATTTTTATTACATAAAAAACATTTTTTTTCAAGGCCTCCCATTTAAGGCAGAAATGCCATAATCCTTTTGGAAGACACTTAAAAAAAAATCTCTTGAGGACCTTGTAGTACTAATGACTGGGGCTCCCAATTGGGTCCTCTTCCAGCTTGGCCAACTCCACAGGGGACACCAATGATGTCTGGAAGTTACTCTCAAGGGAGACTGTGCTGGTGGGAGCTGACTTAGAAGCTAACTCCTAGGTTAAGCCATCAGCTCTGCCAAGAGACCTCATCTTCGTTTGAAAAGCCCGACCTGGGATAGGGTAGAAATTCTATCTCACCA